AAATATTTACTTTGCTGTTAAAAGCAAACAAAAACTCCAAAACTTGTAAGCCAAAAGGCATGTCATCTATGCAGCATTTTTTAAAAATCAAATTGCATTCTTATGTCGTAAAACATTTTTTTAAATACCGAAATTATACTTGTGTAATTCCATGGAGGAGGCCAGCTTATTAGTGGTTATTAAAATAATGTTGAATTGTAACTTATGGCTTGAGCAACTCTTAAGATACTATTGGCTGGAAGAACAAACTAAGAGTAGAATCATTTCTGTGAACTTGAATTTTATGTTTGGCTCCACCAGTCAAGTGCCAGGAGGGGGGAGTAGGGGACTAGCCAATTGTTTTCCAGTGTGGTGGGTWTTTTCCTCTTTTGCCTATCTGCTTGTAGCTACCAGACTATTTCTGAGCGGTACGTATGTTCTTTCACATAAGTGGTATAACCCTTTAGAAAAAAGAATAAATTATTTACAGAAATACTGRCTTCAGTAGTTTGATTTTAAAAGAAAACAAATTTGACTTCTAATAACATTAAAATACTGATGTGTTCCTCATATATCCTGTGTTTTGCTTTAATAGTGCGTTAATGTTTTCTTGAGCATAACCTATTCAAAATCTGCATAGTTGTGGAGAAGTGTAGTTTCTGATACAAGGGTCAATGAAACTGTTTAAAGATCAATGTATTATTTATCCTGCTGGATTTCCTTTTGAATAGCAGAAATTTATATAATCTCTCATTACATCTATAATGGGTSTTTAAAAAAGTAAAAAATATTGCATTTTTAGCATGCTCAAAATTGTACRCTTACTTCATTCTKCTTGTTAACAGCACGATTCTGTCTKTTTTTCTGTCTCTTTTTTCCCTAGCCAAATTTTGGTGCTTCTTTACATATTCTCAAGGTAGAGATTGGAGGTGATGCACAGTCAACAGGTATGCATTTTGCATGGGCAGCATTTAACTTCTCGTTTCGGTGATGCTGTAAGTAACRTGTGCTGCACATGGAGCTCAGGCATGGAGACAGCTGAACTGAGTTGCAATAAACTATAATGGCTGCTAACTTGTAGAAGAGAGATTTAAACGTGCATTCTGGAAGCAGTTCTCACTATCATATGAGCAAACGACTTCTTCCTTTTCCCCCTGTAGTAGGTTTCTGAGTTGCAGAKCRTTTCTCAATCACMAGTTTTGCAATCTAAGTWGTTTATGTCTTAAAAATATGAAATSCAAAGACATCTSCTCAGGAGCAGTTACATTTCTTTGGTTTAACTTGCTGCAACATTTCACTGAAGCAGAGTTGGCTGGTAGTAGGCAATATTTTTTTTCTTCCTGGGAAGAATTGCAAATGCAAATGTCTTGTAATTTGCCTAACCTACCYACTACATTTACATATAGGAGAAACTAGTAACTGATTGTGACCAAAGGCAGAAAAGTAGAGTCTACAGTTTGTATCTTTTTTTCTTCAATTTTTTTTTTGTATTTTTCTCAAATAGACTTAATACCAAACACAATTAGTAAATAGAAAGCATAGAATCTGTGTTTCTGGTGTTATATATGTATATATATCTGTATATATATCTTTGTGTATAGATCTTTGTGTATATATACTTGTATGTATAAATATATGCATTTGTATATATAAATTTTTTCCCATAATGTCTGTGTTTTGTATAATGAGATATTGTTTTTCATTCTTGGGTTTACGTCACAAAAATTAACATGCTGATAACTATTATACTGGGTTTAAGAGTTTGGTCATGCATTGCTGGTTGGAGGGGAATGGAGTCATCTTCAGACATGCACAGATCTTCCTTTCAAACATTCTTACTGCTGGCTAAGAGGAATGTCACATACCTGTGTGATGGCTTTCCAGTTTAAAAAAAAAACAACAATAAGATGCATATATCTCAATGCACAAAACTGCAGGTCTTCTTCTGGCCTCAGAGCTGTAATCAGGAGTTCATTTGAAATGTCATATGAAGTCTGCATTTGGAATCTAATCATTCTATKTCCCTGTCAAATTAAACTTCCATGTAGCCAAGTGTTAGTAAGGTAAAAAAACCAGTCCTGTTTTCTGTGATGAAATRTTGTTTCAGCAGGCTTCATTTGAAATAAAGTCTCGTTAGAAAAGGTCTCTGCATATAGTTTAATGTAAGTTGCATCATTGTTGCAGTCATGTACACAAGTTATTACTTGACTTTTGTGTGTAATGACTTCCCATGCAACACCGATTCTTTTGCACATTTCTGGTTTATTTACCTTTGYCTGAGGAAAGTCAGTGCATAGTCTTCAATTAAAAAAATATTCCTGCAGTCACAGAACACTGTGAAAGTTATAAACTGGATATTTTACTGTAAAAATAAACCCAATCTCTTTCCTGTAATTGAAAACCTTCACCGTAGTTCCTTTTCTTTCTCTCCCTGGATTTGCCTTGCAYGGAAGAAACAAACAGACTATAACCTTTTGTTTGCTTTTTGGTTTAGAGATAACTTGCTTGTGTAATTTTTTTCYTCCTAATCTTAATATTGTAACTTTCCTAATGGTTAAGATCAAGATACGAGACAATAGTGAGTGTAGATTTAGTATTATCGTAGCTAGGGATAGGAAATGCCTGATAGGTAATCGCATCTAATGTTAAAAACAAGTAAAGACCCTTAAAAATAAAAATACTAAATTTATGCTGAGTTAATATGCTAAGAACGAAGGGTGGCAAGTCTTGCATTTACCTCTCACTATTTCTTTTGCTTTGAAGTACATACCAAAGAACTTGTGAACCGTGTTGGAGATACGTGTTTGCATACTGTGGCAATGAGCAATACAGCAAACTTTATGATGTGTAACAGCTTATGACACAGAAGATAATTGTGAGCTACCTGTCTCTCCTTCCTAGATGGTACTGAACCCTCCCATATGCACTATGAAAATGATGAGAACTACTTCCGGGGCTATGAATGGTGGCTGATGAAAGAAGCTAAAAAGAGGAACCCCCAAATTAAACTGATTGGTAAATTGCTTTAAGCTTTTAGATTTAAATGCCCTTTTATTCCCCGACTAGATTACCTGTCTGACCCTTAATTAGCATTTTAATGGGCAGATGTTTTGATATTGCAGTAGACAAAGTAGAATCGCTAATATTTGTTAAGCTTGTTTAGATGCTTCACTTACCATGTTTTACCTTGTTACAATAGCACAGGATGAAAAATCTCTAATAATTTGCTTTTATTAAGTAACTGTAATGCTTAGAGTGTATCACGGCAGTGAACATGAGTGATTTATCATGAGAGATGAATTTCTGAATAATTGAATGTAAAAATTGGGAGTGATAAAGTTACTGAAGTATAAATTCGTAACTCTTACACATACTACCTTTGATTTTATATTCTTATTACAAATTAATTAACCACCCCTTCTCAATATAGTGGGTCTGGTCTTCTGATTTGTCCTACATGTGTAGTTGAGTTGTGAGAGGAGTTTCCTGTCTTCCTGTTTTGATTGTCAGTTGTATCTGCTGTGACAATACAAATATGGAACCCTAGATAGTATTTTTGTATGTTGGAAATACAAAATGTGTTTCACATGAAACARCGTAAGAAATCTGTCAGTTAAAAGCTGTCTAATTCCTCTGTCTTCCAGGGATTTTACCATAGCCAGCCACAAAGCAAGGCTGGTGCAGGATTTCCGAGTCAGGTTCTGTTAAGCCTACTATTTGTGACTAATTGTGTTTATTAATAATGTGCCTCTTCCCTCAGATYAAGTTCTCAACAAAGGAGGGAGGATTTGCTTTTAAATTAGGCTATGGTATCTTACACAAGTCGGCTGGAAACTTAGCAGCATCTGGTTAAAATAATTKTTCTTATTTGCTGCAAGATCCAGTGAACAGCTGAGACTTGGAAATTCTTTTTCATGATCCTAATCTTCCCTCCTCTTTTATRATCAGAACATCACTTCTTCTGAAATTCATATTCAGGAGATTAACACTTTTTCGTGTTCTATATTGATTCTTTGTCTTTAACTTTGTAAATTTTGATAGTAAAATCTTTGGATTTTTAATCTGTTAGAGCTAATACCGTAAGATTGACAGATTCTATGTAGCTAGTTGTTCTTTAGTATTGAATACTTCCTAGCTTATTAAAAAAACCCCAAACCAGCTATTAATATGCTTGATTATAATTTGTATTATAGCGTACTCTGCAGTAAGGTAAGTTATGTTTCACTGTTTTCACTGGAACCAAGTGAGTCTGGTGCGCATACCTGCTCCTTCATTTTAGGTACAGCAAATTACAGCTTCTCTTGAAGCTTATTGAATAATGTAGACCAACCACTTACCTTATTAATTTCTTTTTCTTCTTTCTTTCCAGGATTACCTTGGGCATTTCCAGGGTGGATAGGGAAGGGTGAAAACTGGCCCTATGACTATCCAGATGTCACTGCTTACTATATTGTTTCTTGGATATTAGGAGCAAAACAGTATCATGGTTTGGACATTGATTATATTGGGGTCAGTAAACCAAAATCTCCTGTATATTTCATCTGTCTTCTAAGAACTCGTTCTTGTCTTGCTTTGTTGATAACTGGAGGAGGCGGATGGAAAGGGATTTTTTTTTTTTTTAATTGCAGCTTTGGCTTGTACTGTTACCGGGGAAAAGCAATAGTTGTGTTAGTTTACAGTCTTCGTGAAATGATGGCTGTTAAAGCAGAGTCTGTGACAAATGGTTCTTACTGCCTCTTTCTAGAACAAAGTTACCAGAGGATTKGAGAGTTCTGAAATATTTTCCTTTTCCACTTTGCTTGTTCTGCTTGTGTTTCACCAGTTACCAGATAACAAAARCCATCAGTTAACACAGTTTGTGAAAGTCAGCTAACATATAAAATATGGTTGTTATTTTGCAGAGGAGCAATCCTCTACAAATTTTCAGGTTTTGCATGCAATATTTATAGTAGATAAAGGTATATTACAACTACTGCATTGTGCTAAAGTGCAGTATGTGAAAGTAGTGAATTAATGTCTGAGAAAAAAACCTTAATAAACCCTACCTCATTATTCGACTGAGGAAGTGTTTCTAAGATTCCTCATCCTAAAATCAATCCTACACTTACTTTGGACTTTTAAGTTTTTTGATATGAGACAGTTTAACTGCAGGAAAGCTGAAAATCACTTCAAAAGTCCAGAGCAAAAATTCTAAAACTGTGGTTCCTGTCCCTCAGAAGAAGCCTGACCTTTCTGCCGTAACATGGGAAGGGTGTCTCACAAATATCTCCTCTGAAATGCATCCCCTTTGCTGTTGCTGACTTTCAGTTGGGTCAGATTTGCACTGTGGCCAACACAGTGATATTTCAGCAATTCAGTTGTGGGGACAGGGAGAGCAATTGCTGTTACATTTTTCACTGCCTTGTGCTCCCAGTGTAGAAGGTAAGCTCTGCACTTCATGTGTTTGAGTAATAATGACTTCTGTGTTGTTACTTCACAGTCATTGGCCTTCTGAATTGTCTTCTAMGAAAATTTCTGCTTCTCCAGGCAATGTAGTGATATTGCATATTGTCTGATTTCTTTGTGGGTGTAATCTGAAATACAGCAAATCAGTGAGAGGTCTGTGAGGGCTCAGAAACTGTCAAAACAATTTKGATGCTATTATGATTGTACGTGGTTAGCCTTTACCACTCTTTTTTGCTGTAAGTACATGTTCCGTATCAGTTTGCTTTATGATGAACATTTCAGTAAGGCTTTGATTAGCTCATTTCTGAAGTCACATTAGCATTTATAGAAAGATACAGAAAAAACAAAATCAGTTGGACTTAGCCAATGTGCAGGAAAGTGTCTGCTTGTACACTGTTGGATAATCTAAACTTTTACACGTGAATGTGAGTCACAGAGTTCATGTTGGGGTTAGAAAAAAAAAAMCCCAAGGTTTCTGCCTATGTGTTTTATAGGCCAGGAGGTATGGTTAAAAGGGAGACTAGTGTTCCTTGAGCTGTATTTAGCTTAAACACTCTTCCCATATAGGATGGAAAAATTAGAAATTAGCTCATTTTATATCTTTTATTAAAATATGCTGAATCTCTTTTGTGTTCAAGCTTTTATGTGCTCCTGTGTAAATTAGGAAAACTGTAAGCTTCACTGATTTGTTCATTATGTGATTTATTCTTGCTCTTCTATGTATTGCAACAGGGGCCCATTCATTAGGCCACACCTTCAAGCCGCAGTGCATTTCTCAATGATTCCTTGCAAACTGTAGAGCCATTGGTAATGTAACACTGCTGCCATTGTAGAGCTGAGGCAGCTCTAGCATTCTTGTCAGTGAGAGGCAATCAGGGGACCTTAGAGAAAGATAAACAATCAGCTACTATGAACTTTAAYACAGAATTATCCCCAGAAAAGCCAATAACAAAAACCAACACTTTCCTCTAGCACACGGAAACCATTAGTTGATTAATGGATTCTATAATCTTACATATATATTGATAAAATCTTTAATTATGCATTGACATATCCTGATTTTTCTAAATGGATTTTACTTTTCCTTTATAGATATGGAATGAAAGGGCATTTAGTAGCAAATACATTAAGGTATGTATTCTTTTCTTATTTCTGTGAAGTGCTTGTCTTACTGTTTGCAAACAATTAGCTTTTCTGAATTTGCTTAGGAARGGGACCTTAATCCTGCAGCCACTTCACTTACTGAACTCTGTTCCTTGTAGTTGCATGCATGAAATGCTAACATGGTCAGATATCTGAGTTGTTTGTTTTATGTGTCTGAAACTGTTATTWTGAACTTTTAAGTATGCTAAATGTTAAGACTTCTAAATTTTAATGGAAACTTCTGTTGTTGCCACTATCATACAAACTTGTATCATCTTTATATCACCTTGGATATAGCTAGAAGTCTAAGATCTGGAGTTGCTTAAAATTCTGTAGCTCAGTTCTGTGATTGTAGTACCCTTAAATACTGCTATAAAACCACAGTAAAGGCTCTATGTTTTTAACTTTGCAAATTTCAATAACTTTTGCTCTAAAAAATTGAACRAACACAGTGTTTCACATAAACAACTTTGAGATAGATCTAATATTAATTTCTCACTGCTGAATACCACTGCAGCCCCCACTGCCCTGCTTTGAAAACTCTCTTCTGTTTGTTACATTGTCTTAAAGTGAAATCTTAACCACAAGGTTCTGCTTTGTTCCTTTCCTTGTTATTGCTTTGAGCCTAAGACACAATTGTATTACCTCTTGTTAAAAGTAAGTAAGATTTAGAAAACATAAAAAGGCTTGAGTTGATAGGGACCTTAAAGATCATCCAGTTCAAATCCCCCTGCCATGGGCAGGGACACCTTCTACTAGACCAGTTTGCTCAAAGGCTCATCCRGCCTGGCCTTGAACACTTCCAGGGATGGGGCATTCCCATCCATTCTTCCTTGTCCTGTCCTTTAACCATGCTTTGGTTAAAAGTCCTTCTCCATCTTTTTTTGTGGGCTTGCTTCAGGGGCTTGAAGGGAGCAGTTAGGTCACCCCAAAACCTTCTGTTCTATAGTCTGAAAAGTGCTAAATCTCTGTAATGTCACCTGGATGCTTTCTCAKCTGTTTGTCTTGGCTTGGTCCTGGGGGAAGAAAGAACACAGAGAACAAACTGTCAAGTCTAGATGCAACATTCTACTTTATAGCTTTTTGAGTGCTGTTGAATTGGGACTGAACTTTTGGCCTCTAGAGTTGACTATTTAGTTTAAAATGTGACCTCAAAATCACCCAAGTTTTTACTGAAAAGTTTCTGCCTTCTACTRTATGTTAACTGATAAGAGGTCTTTTATTAAGCACCTATTTTACCATTCATTCTCTGACAGTGTCACTTGGCACCTGTTCTCTGATCAGCATGATAATTCTATTTGCAGTCTGCCATTTCCAAAGAGGTCAATTCATTGAAGTGTGCTGCTGTACACCAAACATTTTCTGTAATTCCTGTTAAATACATTACAGATAAGCTCTTAGTTATCTTGCTAAATTTTTACTTGTAACACATTATTTTAGTTACTTCATCCACTAAGACACYACTTATGTTTCTTATTGAGTAGTTAAAAAGGAAATTTGAATTTTAGTGCTTATAAATTTTTGTTCAAGAYCCTTCTTTCAGTTACATGAAGACTGGGTGTGGGGGAATGTTCTGTGTATGTTATTGTGGAGYGTATTTTTGGTGCATGCTGTTCTGTTCTTGATATTTACCTTTCAGCATGGAAGTTCTGCAACCATTCATCTTGTTCTTCTGAACTGTCTCTGTGGTTAGGCAAGTTTTCTTAATGTCTGGGTAGCTAGAAATTGCAAGGACCTTCTAACATTATGAATTTTTCTTCTGACAAATTTCAAAGGTTTCAAATAGCTGAACAGAACTTAATTGCTACTTTTCTTCCTCTTAATAAGTTTTATGTCCTTGAGATCTAGGTTGTGATTGTCATCAACCCTTAGACTTTGATTTCTGTCCTTACTTGACTATATGAAAAATAGAAATCCTCCCTATTCTTCTYCGCATTGCTGGAGAACTATTACAAGAAAGTATTTAAGGAGTCATGCCTACTGATCTTTGAATCAAGTTGCAAAATCTTTCTTATGCATGCATGCATACACAAAGCACATAGTGCTTTCATATCTGAGATTGAAGAAAGTATTTTAGACTGCAGACTGATGTGTTTTTTTTCAGATGCAACTGTATGTGCAGGCTGTTGAAAATAAGTTTTTTAATTTATTTTTTATTTCTGATTTGAATTTTCAGATAATACCAGCCCTCTCTATAAGTGTGGTTCATTCTTAACTATTCAGGCTGAATATATTTTGCATCGGTATATTTTACCTAAGAAGTTCCACAGACAAATATGAGATGTTTATCATCTTTAACAGTGAAATAATAAGGAGAAGCTGGGAAGACAGAATAGGAATTCTTTTCTGCTAGAATATTTGAATTCAAAAATTGGTTGCCCTTAGTTTTGTTGTAAATCTTGCAATTCTAGTTTTATTCATTACTTTTCCTGAAAGAGAAACATGAGAGCAAAGTAGTGGGTAAACCTGAATATTAACACTTGAAACATCGAGGATATTTTTTTTTGTTCAGTAAAATGGGCAGTGAAAATAATGTTTARGTGCTCTTCACTTGAACAAGACAGGTGTTAGGCAAAGGTTTCTGTTACTGTAAACACCTGCATGGATAGAAGGTCTTTTCTATTTTCAGACTTCAATCCTGGTTTTTTCAATACACTTTTTTTTTGGGATCAGGTTAAATTTTGCTTCTGATCACTTGGGGAGGTATGTCCACTTCCACGTTTCAGCCAATTGTTATTTTTAGATTAGCTTAACATGATAGATCTTACAATGAATCCATTGCATCTGTGTAATTAATTACTGGCATRCAATGGAGTCAGTAGGTTGAGAGTGTCCAAGTGGAGTATATGTGTGCATATGTGGTGTTAAAAGTTATCCAAGTGATAAGAACCCCATTTTTGTGTAATGACTATCTGAATGCCATAGRTATCCCTTCAGTTTTAGAAATAGTTACCATTAACTTTGTCTTAGTTGCCACTGTAGCTCTTGTTTGAGAAGTGAGAGCTTTCCTTATCCGTCCTGGTCTGAAAACAAAGGCATCCACTCACTCCTTCAAAAGTTCTTAAATTGTTTTCAGTCTTAAATTTTCATGTTGCCATATTGATGAAGGCTGTACTTTAAGTGGTGTTATCTGTTGCTAAGGTGCTTCGACATTCTTTGGACAGACTGGGTCTAACGAATATTGGCATCATCGCTGCGGATGGAGATTGGAGCATTTCAAAAGAGATGATAGTTGATCCCTATCTTAATGATGCTATTGAGGTAGTCGGGTAAGTGTGGGAGAAGGGAGTAATTTTAAACATTGCTATTGCTTCTTTTCTGTAAGTCAGTCCTCATCTCCATTTTCAAGAGTCATATTTCACACTTGCTAGCTGTTTCCATTTTTTTCATCATTGTGTGCAGTGGTGAYGGATTATTCTTTCTTGTCTCCTCTSTACCTTCAGTTTAGTACATGGGTGAGCTGACCTTATCACTCTTCCATMATTTCTTTCAAGTGTCCATTTAGGATCTATGTGTAGGGTTCTTAGCACTAGCAAAAGACAGGAGACTTAACTAATCTGCATGTGCATCTTGGAAGTCAGAAAAACCTTATGACTGAGCTCTTGGTCTCCAACTGGTTTTCATTTCAAGTGAGCTTGAACTATCACAGTGGAACTTACCACCCTGGGACTTTCTGAGGCTGCAGCTGAGGTTTCTCTGGTCATGTCTTAGAGCTAGAAGTTTCTGTTTCTTGCTTGTATCTCATAATGGATAATATTATAAATGCATGCACTGACAGTAACATAGAAATAAAAACACCCAAAGGTTGTAAACTAATACAGCCTATCTCAGTTTTGGCAGCTGGGARTGCCTTCTGTTGCGGTTTCAGCAAATGTCAGCTCAATTGTTAGCCTTCACTCTTGTTCCATAATACACTTTCTTACTACCGTGCTTCTGGCAACTGGCTTGGTACTTACTCTGCTGCTCTTGCATTCTTTGTAATCTCTGGTTTCTCAGCATTATAAATTGTTTTTTAAAAAAGTTACATGTTCCCAGTGGGAATTACCTATGCAGATATAAATTGGTTACTTGTGTTACCTTTGTTAACTTGTTTATCTCTGTTGTTAGCCTTAGTGTGATAAGAACATTCTTGTGGTCATTTATGTTCCGTTTATCCTCTGTATGTAAGGAAGTACGATATGCTCATCATTGTTTTAATTGTTTAAATTAATGCCTGATTCTAGRGTTGTAACAAGTCAGTTAAGCAGGGATTTTATACAGAAATTGCTTTTATATATGTTAAGCTTGTAAATACCAATCACCTGGAAGCGGCTGCCTGAGAAATACCAATTACAGTGTCAGCACTGAGTAACTCATTTGGTTAAAAAAAACAACTTTCTAAGGTTAGGCAAGACTTGCAGCTCAGCAAGTTATAGTGCGTTAGGAAATGTTTTAGTAATCTTTCCGTGACAATACAAYGTGAAGACTGAATGCATTGACTGTGTACGGCTCTTATTTCTTTAAGMGCTTGACAGAATCAAGGATAGGAGTACTGGTTTTTGTTTGTGCCTTTAGAACCGCAGACATATTTTAGTTGTTCTTTAAAATAYAAGTTCTTTTTGTCAGAGGTTTTTCTTTAATGTCATACTGATTTTTCCCCAACTCCCCCACCACTGATGATCTCAAAAAATGAAGAGTYAGGTTTTCCTGTGAAGTGGTTTTGTTATCTAACAAGAAATCAAGGTTAGTACAAAATGAGGACAACATGTTTCTCAACCAGTGCTGAAATTAAGGTACTAACTACCAAACAGAGTTCTTGCTGGCCTAGTGAAAGATAACAATATTTAGGTGTCTGTCCTTCAAATGTTCAGGTTCAGAAAGCTGCTGAAAGGACACTGTATCTTTATGTCTCTTAGATAAGGCTGTCTAGTTGCTTGCAAAATCTGCTAGTCAATCTGTTTTCCTAAATAGTCTTACATTCTTTTCTCAGAAATMATTTTCTGTCTATTCCTCTGTAATCTCTTTTCAGGTATAACCCTTTCTGTGCCTTTTTTTAAAGTTCTTTTAGTGTGGAATGGAAACCTGAGATTAAATTTACATTGTTTTATTTAGAAATTATCAAGATTGTTGCAACGATTGCTTTGGCGTCCATACACAAAAAACAACTGCCCTTTCCCTTTCTTTGTGTTTCATWTAATTTTCTGTTTTCCTTTTTCTTACTCTTTGGCATCAGGTAATTTTTACCTTGATACCGTTGCTCCCCATGGAGCTCTATGCCTGTTTCAAATGCCGTTTGTAATCGGAAGGATGTGTGAGATAGATTAAAGATAGATGGGATGTGGGAAGAATCARAAAGGTGGAAATGAGAAAACTCATGATAGATAGCTTAACAGAGAAAGCAAAAACTGTATCTGCAGGCAAAGCAAATRCAAACTTTCAGAGTTTTATTAAAGACATCAAACAATATTGGTCCTAATGACAGCCTACGGGGACATTGCTGGCAATCTGCTCCCTGAGCGCACTTCTGTATGCACCTGGGTGGAAGGCTTTGCAGAAGTCAAGATGTATGACATCCACTGGTTCCACTTTGCCCACACAGGCATTCACCTTGTGGAAAGCAGTTATGTTTGTAAGGCATGATCTGACCTTGGTAAATCCATGCTGCTKTTCCCAGCATTGTTATTGTCTATCCTTTGTGTGCTTCGGCATGGCTTTGAGGAAGRCTTGTTCTGTAACCTTGCTGGGGACTGTGGCTACATTGTTGGCTCTGTAGTTTTACARGTCCTCCTTGAAGACGAATGTTAAAGCAGCTCTGGTCATCAGACACCTCCCCTAATTGCTAAATACATTAACCTTTATGYACAAGTCGGCAGACCAAATGCTTTTTTTAATGCAAAATGCAATGGGAAAGTACAACACAGAAGTATGCTGTTAGTAATGTTAGTAATACTAACATCGCTGAAGTCCTTAAGACTTGGGGTGGAAAAYGTTGATGTTTCAGGCTGCTGTCAGACCATACATAACCTACTTCAGATTCCAGTCTGTGGAAGAAAAAYCGTTAAGCACTGTTTTTTGCAGATAGTGTGCCCTGTTGGAGAAGATAATATCTGGTAGAAATATATGGAATGATTTGAAGATAGTTAGGCATTTGATGTTACAGGAATTTACAAGTACAGCAAAAGCTGTTTAGGGGACCTCTGAATTTCGAGAAACTGTGTTGTTAGACTTGATGTTACATGACATTTTGTTTGTAGATTTGTTTCAYTGACCTTCAAGACCTTCAAAATCTCTAGGGAATTGTACAGTATCTGCAATTTTAAAGATTGAAATAAAAGAGTTGGGTAATAGGGTGTGTACATGTCTGGTGTTTTTCTTTTGTTGCTTGTGTTAAGGAAAAGCTCATCTCATTTAAGGTGGCTTCACTGTTAAACTGAAATAATWGGTTGGCAGGGAGAGTTGGGGAAATGAGCTCCTGTTCTAAATGAAATGTTTGCTGTGCTTTTGAAAGCAATTATAAATTATAATTCAATTATCCTTGCCTTGTATGTTGTGGTCCTTGTGTTTAGCCATTGGCACTATATCACCTTAGTGGCTGATCCTACAAAGAGGGTGTCTTGCATGAAATGTGATATASTTTGGCGTTATCTGTACTTTTGTGTCTGTAAGAAGAACAAAAAGTTTTTAATTTTTCATTTTATCGTGTGTTTTGGGATTTGGTATGGCAGAGGAAGAAGGTGTCCTTTGAAATCTCTTTGTGCTGGACAATCTTGTACGTTTTGTTTGGTGTAACAGTTATCCAGGTTGCWAAAACATGAATTGAAGCACAGTAGTTTTTTCAGCTATATTCAAAKAGTACTGAAGAAGATGCTGCTTTCCCAATATAAAGTTTTGACAATTTGAAAAACGTATTTTTTTATTTGTCTCTTCTCTCTTTTCTTTTTCTTTGCTCTCCTTTTTTTCCAAGCTGTTGAGGTACACAATGGATAAGCATGGTCTGGAGCAGGTGAGGATCATAGCCAGCGATAGACTGTGGGAGCCCATTTCCTTTGTCATGCTGATTGACTCTGAGCTCCATGGAGTGGTCGATGTGATTGGGTAGGGGGTTCTCTCTGTTTTTCTTTCTTGGTGGTTTGTTGATAGTTTGTCCTCATCTTATGTACAACTAACACAGCCAAAGCTTTASCTCTTTACCTGCAAGGAAAGGATTGACACTATAAATTTTCTTACTAACCCACATCAAAGCACRAGGCTCTTGTCCCAGTAACAGCCTCAAGCTTTAATTGAATCAGGAATCTTCTGTCATGATGAATATTCCAGTTGGATGTGGTTGCACTATTGATGGAGTGAAGGTTTTTTCGACAACGCTATTTGTTCTGAGGGTTGTTTTGGTTACTCTGAGTAGTATGCAAMAAGTGCTTTAGCTTTACCACTTTTTTACACAGCCTTGTGTTACTGACTTCCACTGGTTTGTTACTGAAATGTTTGTAGTCTGGAAATGAATTTGGGCTGTGATTCTTCTTTGAATTAGTGTCTTAGTTCCCTTTTTATTTGATGAGAAAGTTGTGTTTGGAAAACATGTGGCCAGCTGACTTGTTTTAGTGGTTCTGGATTTTATCATAATAATCTACTAATAGACTAAATTTGAGATTGATTACTGACTTGATGGCTGAATGGAAATGTGTTTACAACATGTTTGTTAAATTTTCTTTTTGCAGTAGTTCTTAACTTTGCTTGCTAGGTGCCATAAACTAACCTGACTCAATCACATGGTTCAAATATGACAGTTCCTTTCTTCAACTTGAGTCTTTTTCATTCGTTTTTATATATCTGACCCATAGGAGGTGTAGAAATGAGCTCTTTTTCTCCATTGCAGATAGGCAGTCAGTGTCATCTACCCCTGCTGTCAGTCCCTCCCTCCATTCTGARCATGAACAGTATCCTGCCATTTTTTCATAGGTGGAGTCTTGTATCATATCTGGRTAAAGCTCAACTGCTTTTTACACTTTCTAAATAAGCTGTAGTTGCTTAACTCTACAAATGTAAATTTTGCATTCCTACTCTGATTCAGTCTTAACAGGGAGATGAAATACTCTCTTGYGTATTTCAGCTTTTATTTGGCAGKGATGTTGACACTTAAGAAACACCTTTTCAGGATGTGGAGTTTAGGACAAGTTACTCCTTCTCTACTTTGTTATTGCAAGCTATGCACTTTATGCCATTACAAAAACCTTTTGCTTGGTACTAAGGCAATACTTAACATTTCCAAGCCAAAGGGGAAATACACAATAATCTGTACAGCAGGGAAGAATGTAGCTAAAATCTCTATTCCCTGTTATATTACCATTAGTGAAGATATACAACACTGGCAAATGGCGCATTGTCCAGTTGAGGGAAAATAATGAAGAAAACCCCAAGAGCCTAGAAAAACTGGTGTTTCTTGTATCCCTGCAACAAATGTATCAATTTACCCAGCTGCAGGCTAATAATAAAGGAAACGTGTATGTTTTAATTTCCAGTGCTGATAGTTTCATTTTCGTGTACATATTTAATGTATTCAATGAATGTGCTAAGTCAGGAAAATCCCAACCATGTTTTCTGCAAGTGATTTAGAAGGTTTTGTTTCAGCCAGACAAACCTCCTACAGTGGCTCAGTGTTGTGATGGAGTATAACCACTGGGAGAAAGGATCTCCCCTCCTACTAAGGAAGATATTGAAAATTAGCTATTGTTATGTTTCAACTATTTTCAATTTTATACCTCTGTAACCTCTCCAGTCCAACTAGCATGCTTTTTTGAAASCTGAGTTTATTAAAAAAGATGTACAAAATCAGTCCAGTTTATGTTTACTTCTAAGACATTCATGCAGTTAAGTTCTTAGCATAATGCCTTGTATTGTATCTTATTGTTGTTTTTACATTAGTTGTGGTTTTGTTTAAGATAGTATGAGTTAGTTTGCATTTTCTCTATTCAACACATTATGGTAATGAACATCTTCAAGCTCAATTTCAGGGCAGAGATTCGCTTAYAGAAAGCTATAGAAGTTGTATAGTATCTTTAAGTTTATCTATGTGCTATCCTGCAGCATAAGAAATAATCTACTGATGTAAATACAATAAGCTCTGGAATGTTACCGTTTCCCCTTGTTCCGTTTTCTTCTATTCMATTTGCATTATTGCAAAGAAGTTTTAATTTTCAGTTTGAAGGAGGTGAATCATTGCTGCTGTACGTACTTCCAAATTTTGATTCTCTCTTTGTACTAAGTGCTTTTTCTTTTTAATATATTGTGTAGRGCTCACTATCCTGGGACAAAAACAGTGAAAAATGCCCTATTAACTGGGAAGAAACTGTGGTCTTCAGAAGATTACAGTACTTTCAATAATGATGTTGGTGCAGGCTGCTGGGCTCGGATCCTGAACCAAAACTACGTGAATGGAAACATGACCTCGTAAGTGTTGGGCACTGATGCTCGCTTTCGCAATGTGGTGTGTATGAATTATTTAAAGTACTGTATAAAACATCCATCTGCTGSTGAGAAGACAGTAAATTGAAACTCAACCCACTGTAGTCTGAATTCAAATATTGTAAGACGTGAAATCTGTTCTTGCCTCTTTCTGGGCTAGAAGTCCCACAAGTTTCAATGTATTCTCATTTCACAGCACCCTATGGTTTATGCAGTTAATTTCAGATGCCCTTGAGACCGATGATAATTATTAAAAAGAGAATAATCTTAAGAAGAGCTAACAACGAAAAACCATTGGAGGAAATAGCAATAAAACTAATTTATCTATTTTTCTTAAGGGATTTATCAGGTTGTTTGTCTTCAGTTAAACAAATAAATACAGATGTAATTATCTAGGTTTCCATACAACTTCTTCCTCAGAATGCATTCTTAAGCATGCTGTAGTCTTTTGATACAGTAACTGTTTTCTGCACATTTTCTTGTCAAACTGAAAACTGTAAGGAGAATGTTCTCTTTACTGGGCAATTACATAACTCARTTATAGAAAATATCACTTGATGTTTCTAGTACAACAACTGCTAAACTGAAAGAAAATGATTGATGAAAGAAAATGTAGGCATTGAGATATAAGCAAAATTACTCAAAGCTTTTAGATTCTATGTACTTAATTTTTGAAAAATAAAGAGAAATCATCTTGTCTGTTGCTTGAAGTGGAGTGCAGGAAAAATCACATTGATACTTGTAAAGGGAAGTTTCTTGAATCACCTGGTTTCTACAAATATTTTGTCTTCTCTGCAGGCTGAAATTTTCTAGCAGATAAATGTGTCCTTCATGAGTTCCTGATCATTCTGCTTGCCTCTTAATTAATGCTTTAATAGCTTAATTTGGGATCTTTCTTTTCCTTTTTTTTTTACGAGCCCTTTCAAATTATTTATGTCCTGTTTCTTTTGCAGCCTAACAGCCAGGCCATATGTGTTGTATTTATGAATTACTGTAGAATGGTTCCAAGTCCAGATATCCAACAGTGAAGTTATCTTGGCTTTTATATTGAAAAGCAAATCTTTCTGATGAAAGGCAACTTATCTTTCTGCTGAATTTGTTTCCTTTGAAGTTCAGTTTGCCCCTTTTCATTTTAGGTTTGAAATCAGCAGAACACGTGTAATGTGAGCACATTGAACTTACAATTCAAGAGTTGTTTATTTTATGAGCACTTTTTGTAGAATTCCGGGTTTTTGTCTGTGTGTATGTATAGTGTGATAAGTCTGTGGCAGTGACTTTAGAATAAGGCCTTTGTACTCACCTGTATGCAACAGCAAAACAGATTGACAGCTAYTGCCTTCTACTTAACTGCTCTGCTAAGCTCTATTTCCATACTTATGGCCCAGAGGTCTTGAGTTTAAAGTCCCTGGCAAAACATTTTCAGTGAAGACCAAATCAAAGTGCTTGAAGTGATTGTCCTGGTCAGTATCCTGACATGTCTTTAGAGAGCAAGAACTGGAGGATGGCTGGTTAGAGTTGCTTTTTGTTTGTTACTTATATGGATAAAGATCAGATCTTTTTTTTGTGGTACATAACTGCTGCCCCAAAAAACTTCACCCAAAACATCTAGCGCCATAACCAAGCAATCAAAACAACCCCAACCAAACAACACCCAGACTTTGCTAACATCATTTTTGCCCTTTAGAGCAGAAAAAATCCCCAAACAAATGGAGTCTTTAACCCTCAATACATATTTCCTTTAACGTATAACTTTCTCTGCTATAGCTAGAGAATTTGTCACTAGTTTTGGAAGAAGTTTTCAACACTGGAAGCTGATTTGCTTAGAATTTCCTCTCCTGTGGTTTTTTCCCACTTTAGCTGGAAAGTAATTCCTTCCACCCCCACCCTTCAAATTATTTTCAGTTTCTACTGGAGAAAAAGGGGAAATTTGTTCTTGTACTAAGTTAATCTAATACTATCCATATGAACAGAGTAAACACCCGTTTTTCTTCCAGAACAATTGCATGGAACCTGGTGGCTAGTTATTATGAAGAGTTGCCCTTTGGTCGATGTGCWTTAATGACAGCACAAGAGCCGTGGAGTGGCCACTACAAAGTTGAATCTCCTGTCTGGATTACAGGTAGAAATTTTACAGTTAAAAGCTTGATGATCTGACACTAAGCATCTTTGTRTTTTCTGAGGCCTTTATTTATTTAGTGTTTTTATGTGTGCTATTTATTTGCACCAAATTACAGTATATTTTTGGAAAATTTTGCAAATACATTTTAGAAAGAAGGAAAAAAGCTCATTTTAATAGAAAGCAGGAAGATTTAGTAGCACGGGAATACTTACAACTTGACCTTTAATGGTGGCAGAAATAAATAAGCTACTGCCTTCACAGCTGTTATTATTCAATCATTCTGATGTGAAGTGCCCATAAAGGTTAGTGTGCTTTTCTGTTTCCCTTTTCTGTTTTTAATCCCTGAGTTGTATCAATTCATTTTGGTGCTTCTCAATTTGAGAAAATGGAACAAAGAACCTCTCTATTCTTGTCATGCTTGARATTCTTGTGTAAATCAGGATTTCCTTGAGCTTGGGAAAGGGAAGCATGGTCATGTAGTGTCCATGGTCACATGGATTCACTGGCTACTCTGTAGTCCTTCAGTAATATTTTGCTGTCTGTGCCACAGTTCAGTAGAACTATGCAGTGCCATGAAGGAGGAACAAGACAAATGCATGAAGATTTATACTTTTGCTACTTACCTATATATGTAAAAGCATTAAAGRAAAAATAGTCATAGTGTCCCACAAACAGTTCTGAACAGCTGAGCAGTTCTTCTAGTGTCCGTATTGCTCAGGATTTTCGTGACTTGGGTGGTCATGTTCTTCTTTGATAGTTCCATTTACTTGCTCAAAACTCTACTTAGTTATTTGTCATGGAGTTGCCCATCTGTGCTTTCTCTGGCTCAAATGTTTACTTAAAGGAAAAGAGATTTGGGAAAATATATACTATGATGAGTATTCAAATTGCATGTGCATGATTACCTTATATAGTTTGTACTTCATGTCTAAATAATTGCTATCATTTTAACTGTTTTGTCTGCCACAGAATTAATATTTTTAATTTTGCTGTAGTATAATTTTTTATTCTTTCCTCTTATATAGGTAAAATTTATTTTGAAAATGCTATTACTTTCTTCCCCAAATGAAGTTTTTGTTTTGCAAA